CAAGTCACTCAAAGGGATATTTATTATTTCCCGTCATTAAAAATAGAGACTGATATCAAAGCAGGGAGAGGACTACCAAAGAAAACAGGTAACTACGTGCAAACAACATATCTATGCAAACAAGCCAGAACAAATTACAAGCACTTGTTGACAGGGACTATAGAAAGCAAGAAAGCAAGACAGCTCAACATGCACCACATGCGAACACAAAAGCAGACGACAGTACAACAGAAAGATTCTTGGAGGCCAGGAAAGCACGCGAGAACAGGACTACAGCAATCAAAGGTATACCAAAACCAAACAACAACATGATGGCGCATTGAGATTATGCGTCATCTTAGAGATGTGTCAGCTCGTTCTTCTGCCCTCCTGAATATCCGTAAGGGCAACCTACGCTTCACCCTTCTTGCGTGACCTTCTTCTCGGCTCCCTTCAGCATTACCAATCGCGGTCGCAGCAGCAGCAGCAGCTGCAATCCGCACATCCTTCTCCCGTCGCTTCTGATGCCCACGGAAAAAGAAGACAAAAACTACACCAGCACAAGTCGATACACCACTGAAGATGAGTGAGCGGTGCATGTTTGATGGAGGTGAAGCGGTGGAGGGAGCGCGTAATGCGGACATGACTAGATATAGAAAAAATGGTATCACGATTTTGTTAGATGAACTGTCCTGGAAATGATGGGCTCCTGAGGTAGCGTACCTAAGATGAACACTATACTACACACGTTCGCGCTGCAAGAAAAGTTAGTTATCGACGGGAAAGTTAAAGAAAAACAAAACGCTTGGGTACGTACCTCCACCACAAAATCGCCGAAGCAGCATCACTATTCCTCGTCAACTCGCACCCAAGCTCCAACGCAACAGGCAATATACTAAGTGAAAGCACACCAATAACCACGAATATCGCATACAAAGCACCGGTGTTATTCGGTCGTACAGCCCATATAAGTGAGAGCCATCCAGCAGCGATGATCGGTGCGTTTACACGCGCGTAAAGACCGAGGTGATGTGTGAATACGCGATCGAAGAGGGGTGATGTTACGAATGCTGCGACTAGGCCTGAGAGAAGGAGGGCGGCGCCCTGAAGTGGCGTGAAAGGAGAAAGAAGTTGAGTGTTAGTTAGAGAGGAGAAGAATGTATTGATGGACGGGATGAAGTTACCATGAGACCGGCTGTATCGTCTGAGTAACCGTACGGTTCTAGTATTTGGCTAGAAAGAATGGAGAAGGTGATGACTCTACCATACAGTTGTAAGTAATATAGCCTACATCATCTTCCACCGCTCTGCGTGAAGCAGCGGTTACTCACCCGGATACAAGCACGCTAAACGCAAGAACCAGAATGAAGAAGTCGAGACGCTCGCGACGCGTCATGTATGCATCTGCATCAGATTCTGTATCCATGGATTCGACATTCTCGCCGTTTCTTGATCCGTCTGATTGCGAAGAATGCATATTGAGTGCGCGAGGCTGGTCCTCGGCCGTTGACGCCTTTGATACCGGACTGTCAAGCTCGTGTTCTGAACCGCGGACATGTTCCGGAAGTCGAGTAACATTGTATGGGAGCGGCTGCGGAAGGAGACCGAAGATGGCTCGAAGGGTCGTGAGGATATGATGGGAGGGTTTCGAACCAGAATACGCTGATGGTGCAAAAGAAATCCATTTGACTTGATTAATTGGCGTTAATGGGGATGAGACTGGGATACGTACAAGGTGGAGTAGGGGGCTTCGCGCCTACCAAAAGAATGAATGGTGCAACAACAGTTGAGATGATACCTAAAATGAGAATCTTGATGAAAAGAAGCCGTGAATAGAGTCAATAGACATTCAACATCTCGGACTTCTCCGTTGAGACGGATCACTCACAGAAGTGCGGGTATCAGTAATCATCGGAGAAATAAGTTGTCCGAGTGCGGTACCGACGGGATTTGCTAGGTAATTAAATAAGTGAGCTTGTTTCTCTGAAACTAATACTGACTGCGAGGAAAGTGATGAAGCGGAGTCCCGGCTGCAACGGAGTTGTGCTTTCTGATAGATTGGAGTGAGACTTACAGACGGACATCAACATCGTTGCTGTTGTTCTACCCTTCAGATCAAACCACGTTTCGGAGAACTTGGGTGCGAGAATCTGGAAGATTATTTGAGGCACAGCACTTAGGAACTACGCAAGAAAGAGCGTCATTAGGGGACAGAATAGTCTCAGTAAGCAAGTAAAGGATATGTTGAATTGTTTAATGCGTACCTGTCCAACAATGAGCAAGGCATACGCTCCACGTGAGTTGAGCGAAAGTGCAGTCCCCGCAAATCGAACCCATGCGGAAGCAACTAGGAAACCCGTGCCGATCGCATACTGTTAACGACCAAAGATAGGGGAGGTGGATCGATAAGAAACTTTTCCAAACAAATATAGGGGGGCAACTGACAGATATTCGGAGGCCGAAGCGGGAACAGATTATGGGTACGAATGGTGAAACGACGATATAGGTACAACCTATAATATTTCCCAGCCAGTTGACTTGGTCGAGCGTAATACCAAACGTTTGAGACGCTATACACAAAAAAACGACATAAAATTAAATAAGTGAGGAACTGAAATAAAGGATATATACGAACTTTTATATGCAATTGGCCCGAACCAGGTCAAGCTCATCGCAGCAACAATGTTGAGGGCAATAATACCAATCACACCAGCATGCCGTCGTTTGTACAGCTTAAACTGTGGTTGAGTTTCAAGCCCAGAAATCCCAGAAACGAGGATATTTCCATCCTGTTGACCGTCGTGTCGCTGCATACTATCTTCAGAGGTCAAAGCAGGTGCCTCAAGGGTTATTCGCGTTTCGCCGCACTCCTTCGCATTGTCCTTATCGCTGTGGTCCATAGGGAATCCAACACGAAACGCGAGTTAACCAGCTTATAAGGCGGCACAAGTGAGCTGAAGGGGCTAAGTTTCGAGTCGCTAATCAAACATTCGCCGAGCGCAAGCTTTTTGAAGACAAACGCTGATGCGACGTCGAACTCGCTTGTCTGGCCGCCGCAGGCTTTGAGGCACGGAGCAGACGGGGGGAGACAGGTGGCGACTTCCCAGTATAAAATAAAGTCCCGAAGAGAGAGGTGTGTGAATGAATTGCGCACATGGCTGTAGTCTCATGATTGTGATGGAGGCAATTGCATTTCTAGGTTAAGGTACACTTCGGCGACTCACGTTCCGTATCACGTGGACGACGTTCTTGGCATGCCGAGTTTCTATTTCTGAACACACCGAAAATGGCAGTTCAAACTGCGCCAGGCACCATATCTCCACCAAAACCTTTTTGTTATTGACTTATTCCACCAGCGTCAAGATGGACGTCATGTTGAGAGCTAACTCCTCACCTTGGAGAAAGTGTGACGTGCCCAAGAATATAATGCTATATCTATGGTCGATGTCGACAGAAGAAGACCACCAAATTGACTAGACCACTTCACAACGTTCTTCCCAACAACTAGCTCTTGAATTTTCAATTCCATAACAAAATGCCACTTTTCGGAAATAAGCATAACGACGACGTGGGTTCCCTCTGTCGTTTGTTCCTGGAACCGACTCTGATATTATCTCTAGAACGTCGCGTATAACGCTGAGCAACCTAACGCAGGTTACGATAACACTGCCGGATACGATAACCCCGGCATGACAGGTTCTGGCGGGAACCGTCTCCGCAAGAATCATGGAGCAGCACATAATGACCCGCTCTATCCCTCATCAAACGCTCCCGGAGCTGGTTACGGCCAGCAAGAACGCGGAATGGCGGGAGCTGGTGGTTATAACGATAATATCACCACAAATCACCCGCACATGAGAGAAGATGGATATGAACAAACTGGTTACGGCTCTGGCGGTGCCGCACGCCATGCTATGCCTCCACAAACGGACGCGATGGGTAACCCTACGCATCCACGCACTGGAGGTGGTGGTTCTCGCCTTGCAGGGAAGGTCGAATCTGCAGTTGGTACGATGCTTGGAAGCGAGAACCTCAAACGCAAGGGGATGGAGAAAGAACAGTAGGTTTCCGTCAAAATCATACACATAGATTTTATCTCATATTTGACTATTAATTAGAGAATCTCAAGCACTAAAGGTCCAGGCTTCCGAACTCAGCGAAGCGGAACGTCTTGAACAAGCTGCTCTAGCGAGACGTGAACGTGCAGTTGCACATGGAGCGCATCCTGATCATAAGCACCTCGGAAGTCATAATCCTGGCGCGGGAGCAGGAAACGTAAATGAACTCGGTGGAGGTGCTAATACCGGAGTCGGAGGAGTTGGGGGTGCCGGAAGCGGTGCGCGTGGGGGATATTAAGCATATCACTTAATTTACAGAGGATTATACCCAGAGGCGGTAGTTTCACATTGAAGAACATAAACATGGATGTATCTGTACTATTACTGTATTAATGTGTTCATTCATAAACAAATTAATTGGCTGAAATTGTCTGTCTAAAATGATTGATAGTGTTTAACACTTTTTGTGAATTAGTGAATATTGAGGGTGTTCCAGTTCTACTCTATTTGAGCAATGATTAACAGCTCTGTTTGCACATGCTTGCAATGTCGCGTCGCACAACCAAGCACTTTGCTGTTTACACTCGACTGAAACCTTGTCTTCCAAGTAGACTGCAATGCTACATGCTACGACTGGGCAATGACTTCTTTCTAACGTACTCAGCTTTTATTGAGCTAAATCTTCTCTTAGTCTATGCGACTTGAGGCAATTAGAGAATATTGTTGCCTATGACTGGGCTTTTGCAATTTGCTCCGCTCTTTGATCATAAGTCATCAAATTCGTCACGCCCTTTCATTGCAAGTCTGCTTGACAAAAAAGGCTTTTCTTTTTCAATTCTTTTAATGCAAACACGACATTGTGCCTTGTGGATGAATGTGCAATTTTCTTGCAGTGGGGGTCTGTGGCTATCACCTACGCAACAATGTATCAATGGCTGCGTCATTTCATTCGTCATCGGTCGTTGTAATTTGCATTCGGTGAATGAATGCAATTGAAGACCAGTGCATGGAGCTCACTATATGAGTGTATGGAGACAGCCTCGGAGTAACATTCTTGACCGTGCGGTGCAATAACCTTTTGTGCTGACCACAGGCTCAAGTATACGCCAATACTGGATTCCGCAGTGATCTTTGGATGCTAGTAGCCTAATGGAAGTACTGAATTGGACTTATTAATAACCCTGGTGTCTGGCTCCATGGAAGCTATGCCTAGCGAAGCCTATCCACTGGCTCAGCACTCGGGCTATGACGAGTTGGCGTTGCTGCTGTTTGATCATCCTTGTGTCATGGCACCGAAGGCATCCCAAAACCGACTACAGTATGAACTAGGCACAGTATAAGAGACGGTCCAGGCGCGTCGTTTCCAAACATCAAAACTTCTACTATTTCTTCCGACAAGTCACGACTTCCTACCAATTCCTCTTTATTTGATTTACGAAAGTTACGTGAACAAGCATAATGGCCACACAAGCCGAACAACGCCTCGTACGTTAATATTGCATGATTTTATTCGTGATAAAAGATTGCTTATTCAAATAATAGTATAACACCGACCAAAACACCGGGACACAGCCTACGAATACCCAGGCTGGAGGGCCTGGCACGTACGGCAATGAACAAACACAAAACCAGGGGCAGTTTGACAACAACAACAACAGATTCGATGACAGGAATGCGAATACTCAGGGCGGTGGCCTCACGGGTCAGCAACAACAGCAAGGACCTCCATCACAGCAAACCGGTCAAAACTCACAGTTCAATCAAGGAACTGGACCAGGTCAGCACGATCAGTATGCAAACCAGAACAAGGGCGTGACTGGTGGAGGTCACCATGCCGGAGGACCTGCCCGTGCTGCAGAAGCCGGTGCAGCTTACGAAGGCGAGAAACTCGCGCATGGGGGGCACGCACCTGGAGCTAACGGAACACAGTACCAATCGGGTGCGGGAACTGGGCAAGGTCAACATGGTCAACATGATCAGTATGCAAACCAGAACACGGGCGTTGCGGGTGGAAATCACCATGCTGGTGGACCTGTACGTGCTGCGGAAGGTGGCGCAGTTTACGAAGGAGAAAAGCTTGCACACGGTGGACGCGCGCCTGGAGCAAATGAAACGCAGTACCAGTCGGGTACAGGGACTGGACCAGGTCAGCATGATCAGTACGCAAACCAAAATACGGGCGTGACTGGTGGAGGTCACCATACTGGAGGACCCGTACGCGCTGCGGAAGCTGGCGCAGCTTACGAAGGAGAAAAGCTTGCACACGGTGGACGTGCACCCGGAGCTAACGGAGCGCAACACCATCCGGGTGCTGGAACTGGCACGGGTCAGCATGATCAATTTGCAAACCAGAGCACCAGTGTAACTGGTGGCCAGCGCCATGCTGGAGGTCCTACACGTGCTGCAGAAGCCGGTGCAGTTTACGAAGGCGAAAAGCTTGTACACGGTGGACGTGCACCTGGAGCTAACGGGACGCAGTACCAGTCGGATGCCGGAACTGGTACGGGTCAGCATGATCAATTCTCAAACCAGAACACTGGTGTAACTGGCGGTCACCACCATCCTGGAGGTCCTGCACGTGCAGCGGAAGCCGGTGCAGCGTACGAGGGCGGGAAAATTGCACATGAAACTCATGGTACAGGCCATCATGGCGATCACTTCACTGGTAGGCATGACGGTCAAGGTGCTAATGCTGCCAACGCCAATGCACCTGGTTATGGTGCTGGTCCTACAACTGGCATGACCAGAGTCGGTGGTGCTGCACAGCATCCATCTGGCCAGGCAGGTCTCGGAGGTGGTCCTGGAGCTACTACCGGGACCGTTGGTGCTCCTGGCACTGGCTATGGTGTAGGCCAAGGCGGCGCGCCAGGATCTGGTGCTTACACTGGTCAAGGAACTGCAGGGACTACTGGGACCGGAACTGGTGTTCCAGGGACACATGCAGGCGCACCGACTGGCACTGCTCCGGCTCCAGCAAGAGGCGGTACCGGTCAAGCTCAAGTCATCCTTGGAAAGCTTCAACAAGCTGGAGGGGCCATCCTATCTGACGATGCGATGAAAGCTAAAGGTTTGGAGCGTGAGGCGAAAGGAGTTGCTAAGGTAGATCAGCAAGAGGCTGGACGTCTGGAAGGTAAAGCCGCTGCGAGGAGGGAAAAGGCTAGTGGCATTCACGGTGGCGGCGCTGCCGCAGGTGTTGATCCGACTGTTGGTCCACATGGACGTAATCTATAGGAACCACAGAATTTTCGATAGTGATGGCTTATAATGACGCAGTACAAACATCATAATTCTATCATTTGCGTGTATCAAATATGTAACCGTAGTTCATGAGAATAAACTTTAGATTAACGTTTTCCTAAATAAATTTCTTACCTTTGTAGACCTGATGATATTAATACTGCACTGATTAGAACATTGTCTATCGCCGAAAAATATCTACATATGAGTCTGCAAAATTGATGTTTCCCCTTTCCTATAAACGCATACGCCGTCCTTGAGCTGTTCTGTCCTGTTACTATGGCTCCGCACGGTTTTGCAATCGCAATCCCCCACGTCTCCGGCCATGAGGAGCAGCTCAATAACATCTATCCAGACACGGACTGGGACTGTGAATCAGAGCCATCCAATACATCTACTGCTACTGCGTCCAATCTGCCTGGACCAGGCTGCAATCTTGGGAATATTTATAGTTATTTTGGGAAGCCCCTTGAAAATGCCATCAACAGGCTTGCGGAGCGTTCCGGCTATGGAGCCCGAGCAATTGAGCAGCGTACTGCGTACTATATTATCAATGATCAAGTCCGAGTCATTTTATAATATAATTCATTAGTTCGAAAAGCGAGTCGAACAGGCATCTCGCTTCATGTGCAATTTTATTGATTGCTACTGCTAGTCCATATCTCTGCAAGCTGCTTTGGACGCACAATGCGACGGGAGTCTTGGAACGAGTTTGGCAAAGGGAACAAGAGGATGTACTTTGTGCTTTACTTCCCCTGTCACGAAAGGCTCTTATCCATTTGGTCGAATGTGAGATACGCACGAAAGGAAAAGAGATGATTTCTCTTGGCTCCAAAATACGCCGGATGGAGGACCAGATCAGCAATGAGGAACTCCAACCAGACCTGACGCTTGACAAGTTTCAAGCGTACTACATAATATACTGCAATCTTCTTGGTAATTTAGTCAGACATATCTGCAAAGGGTACGTTTCATGCTTTCTAGAACATCGTTACCATGCGATGGTTTATATCGTGAAGCGTGGTAAAGCATGCAGATGGTATAGCGACAGCCCTCAGGCATGGGGACCTGCAAACGACGAGAACAACAACAGAGCAATCGATAGGATGTACATGGCATTAATCCTTGCCCTTAGCCATGAAATATCCATGCCAGGACAGACCCAGCCTGTTGACTGGGTCATACTCGGAAAAATGATGGTGTACTTAAAATATGACTTTAATTGCTATTACCACGACCGAAGAATGAAGTAAAATCCTTGCTTACTGTAGACTTTTTTCAACTAGATGACGACCCGCGAGCTAATCCAAGGATTGTTCTAGAGACGAAATGATTAGAATTCTAGAGGAGCGGATCTTTGCAGAAGATATCGCGACCAAGCTTTCTGTCTTAGTTGATGACAAGCCTGGTAAGGCAATTGTGATCAGAATAAATTGCCCCCACAATTCACCGTCTCATTCAGAAAGGTGATTGCCTTGTGCTTTGTTTACTTGTATCAAATAGCCCATCTCAATTGTTTTGCGTGTTGCGAGTTGCGAGGAAGCTCGGCTTACAGAACACCCTAAAAGAGGTGATGCCGAGCTTCCTCGCAACTGCAAAGAATTGATATGATCGACTTGCGCGGAGCTTGTCGATCATTTAAATCGCAGCACCTCAAAGTGGTGGAGGTGTTCTTGTTCTAAGTATAGCCTATACATGCGTTTTCATTCCTGCTTGCATACATCTTTAGGCCATGCGCATCTCGCGCGACAAGTTGTCTGAATTAGGATGGACCTGGAATGGGTGTAAATTCAATCACGAACCTCTTCCGAAAGGGGGCAATAGAACCTGATTACTTACTCGGAAATTCGGAACTCGGGCTGGAACAGGCTTGAGAGGAGCTTTTATCTAGAAATGACAGGGCTTTGCCCCACCTAGACAGAAAATAACTGTCCAAAGTGACGAACTTGTGCGTCGAATCCTCGTATTGCGCATTTCGATGTTCTTTCAACAAATCGCATGGCGAGACCCCAAACGTGATGAAGGAGTGCATGTTCTAAGCATAGGCAATGCACGCGTATTCAGAGCGCCTCCATCACGCTTCTTCCGGACAATATAAACGCGTTATTCGGATGAGTGCAGCTCCTCAGATCGTCAGGACCTGAAAATAAAGCTCATGGCGTGAAACGAGGCGGACCGCGTGATGGAAGGGTGACGCCAAGGGTTCTAAGGAACAAAGGGATGCAATCGCGGCATTCTAGACGCAATGGAGGATCCCGAGATAGAATACTTGATGATGGAAATGAGAGAAGGGTGGATAAGCCGACTAGAGCTAGGAGCCATGAGGCTAAAGGACGGCGAGGGGGTGCCATTGTGTGTAAGCCGAACCTTTGTATTTCGGCGAGCCTTGAGGCACCATCGTGCAGCACATAAAGGAGAGTAGAGGATGAACGAAAAATGCAGGCTTTACACAACCTCGCCTCGCTCGCTACAGCTAAGCACTCTGTGCTACAATTTTTCTGGTTGCAAATTGGAAAAGATCCCTGTCGTCAACGAGTTACGACGTAACGTCTGGGAGCAGAGCAGCTTACGTCATCAATAGGACGCGCGACTCGGCACGATGCCCGTGCTCACTCTGTCCACTTGGAATTTGAGCTCGGTCACTCTTGCCAGCAACAAGTCCCACTGCAACAAGCTACGGCGCAAGCGTCGTCCAGCGCCGCTGCCATTGCCCTTTGATATGGCCACAGTCGCCAATGGCATTCATGACGACATAGACATCGCCCCATCAGTGTCAACACCAGTAACCGCGGCGAGTACCATAGTCAGCAGTTCTCCAACTCTCCACGAAAAGGTCATGTCAGAACCCCGCGAACGTGATACGGACAAAGACGATGCGCAGGCGCAGGTCATTACAAGCCTCCGAGCACAGGTCACCGACCTCATCATTCAAGTTTCCCAGCTAAATGGGAAACTCGTCAAATCATACGATCGTGTCTCTGACCTCGAGGATGAACTCCATGTCGCTTCGTCTAGTGCACGTGCTGCTTCTCTCAAAATATCCAGCCTTGAAATCGAGCGTGCTCAACATCTTGCTGCCCTGAATACCGGGCTTTATGTTGAGAAAGCACACGTCACCTCTGAGCTTACCCGTCTCATGGAACGTGCAACTGCGGAAGCTGCAGCTCGTGGCCAGGCAGAATCCGCCCGACAAAATATCGAACAAGAACTCGATGATCTGAGTGCGAGTCTCTTTGACCAAGCGAATACCATGGTTGCGGAAGCACGCTTCGAACGCTCTATGAGTGAGCGTAAGGTCACGGAGGCGGAGATGGCACTCAAGAGCGCGGAAGAAGCCGTTGCTGTTATGCAATCCCAGATGCAAACTCTGCGCGAAGAGAAGGACCGGACTTCTGACGAGATATCGAGACTCAGGACCCTTATGGAAAAGGGAAAGTTCGTTGAGCGTACGCCAATCCTCGCGGCGACGTCTGTCAAACTTCTTTCCTTGCATGCTCCTTATCAGGAGTTTGTGCAATTCATTATCCATTTACGGTCTATTCGGCATTCGACTGTAAACCCTCCGCATATATCAACATTGTTGCCGTTACCTTTCCTTGCACGGATACAAACGGAGGATTCGTGAGTTACTACGTTTTATCAAAATGAAGTGTGTATGCTGAAGTACATCCACAGAGACCCGACCGTTCGACTAGATTTCGCGCCGTCGCTGAATTGGCTTTCACGTCGCTCAGTGCTTTCCGCTATCCACAGCGGGCAGCTCACCATTGAACCTATGTCCATCAATGGTCTTCTAACTGAGTCCACATCGGGCATACAATCAATGATTGCTGGCTCTCAATCCGGCATCTCTTGTGCATTGTGTGGGATGCACATCTTTCCGCCGAAGTCCGCTGACGGTGGAATGCCACCCCCACCGACTCATCCACTCTCCTTGACCCGAAACAGCTCTTCAAATATCTGGTCCTCAACGCTTTTCAAAAATCCCTTGTCCAGTGCTGCTCCTTCCCCTCCATTGACTCCGCCACGAGATGCATCTACTCCCTCCACCCCGACGCATGCGAGTTCAATGACAGTTTATGTCTTCCGCCTGTCGCAAACGCAAACAGCTCAGCATCCCCCCTCTAGCTATGGCCAATCTCAACACAGCCAGACACAGCGACCAACAAGTTATCCGCTCTGTAATTCCGGATGGTGCTTGGCACGCCTTAGGACGACATGTTCCCTGTGGGCATTCATCCGCGCTGGCGTTGTTGACCGCGTTTGGGAGGAAGAATTAGCACACCATGCGCCTCCGTCACTATCTTCCGCTAGTGTTTATTCTGTAAACAGCGTCGCCAACAATTCCAGTACACCGACTTTGGCTGGACCCGCTCCACCGCAAAAGGAGGCTGCACCGCCTCTTCCTCCTCGTCGTCGATCAAAGGTGACCAGTAGCGTGGGTGCGTTGTGGGGTATGGCGAGCGGTGCTTTGCGAGGTTCTACTCCCAATCAGAGCCAGCCTTCGTCGCCTGCTCAGGACAACAAGGAGAAGGAAGAGTCTGTTGAGAATGTACTGAAGAACGTTACAGGACAGACAAGGCCAACGCCGGAACCCCTTAAGGTGACGGTCCCACCTCCTTTGCCACGTCGTAGTCTTGGGCGGCGAACGACAGGAAGCGAGGACACGAGCCATGAAAAGGTTGGAGGAGACGCAGCCAAGAAGGAAGAAGAAAATAATGCTAATTCGACCGAGGAGTCGAACAAAGATTACTCTCTTACGCAAAATGCAACGAAATCTGAAACACCGCGCTCAAGGTCAACGAGTCCCGGCCCTAGACCGACGCTAGGCGCGAGTCAACTCGCTCATGCAAATAGTCAAGCTTCTTCGATTCCGAGCATGGCAGGCGAGGAGTTCAGCACGCCCGTCGAAGAGATTGGTTTTTTACCTGCCTCTTTCTCGGCTGCAGCAGAAGCAAAGTCTGACACTGCGACAGACGTTCATGCTCGCCCGTCGACACCGCATTCACCCCGTCACTCACCGCGCTCGAAAGCGCGAAACTCCATGTCACCTCCTCCACGTTCGCCTTCACCGCATCCGAAACGCTTGAGTTCTCCGCCTCCACCGCGTTCACCTCGTTCAGTACCTCTTCCGGACTCTCGGCCCGGTACACCAGCAACGCCGATTAGGACTCACGCAAGGCACATGTCTGGAGGTGTGCCTATCTCTCCGTTGAATGTTCACGCGGATGGAAGTAGACCACCTTCGCGAGCTGCATCTCCCGCACCTCTTGGAGGAGCTCCTCCTGTCCCGCGAAGAGCAGCTGCACGTAGGGCATGTCCGCCCCCGCCAAGTGGGCAGACTGTTCCTCCTTCCTCATCCGGCTCAGCTGATGAGAAGGATGCTTCAGCAAGTGCTTCACCCGCCGATGACCAAAATAGAAATGGACACAAAGATACAGTCACTGAAGGTCCGAAGGTAGAGGAGTCAACCAAAACTAGAGTCAGCGTAGACGCTTCACGTCCTCCCATCCCACCACGTCGCGCAGATCATACATCACACGGATCGGTTTCTGACTTTGGTGACAAGCATGATGATGGGCGCATGGAGGCTACACAAGATCGCCCGCGTCGTGAAACGCCCGAGAAGAAGAACATGGTCAATGGGAAACAGGAGAAAAGAGCAAGTGAGGAAGATCCATCGAAGAATTTTGTTGGTGAAGCAACTTGGGAGGAGCGTACGTGGAAGGAGATTGTACGTCTGCGCGAGGACATGTTTTGGGCTCGTATTGGTGCGGTTCGCGAGTGATTATTTGTCTATCTGTGACTGGTTTGTCCTGTTCACGTCTTGCAGTTTGCAAGCAGTTGTTTGTCACAACGTTTTCCATGCTCACGTTCCCTAAAATATACCATGCTTGCTTCACTTGTAGTGTTTCAGTTTGTCAACCGTTTGACCATAGTTTGTAATTTTTCTTTCTCTCATTGCTCATCCGAGCATATTAGCATTATCGACTGAATCATTCTTGCATTTTTTCTCTGCGATAGTATACCCCTTCAAATTTTTCTTATTGTCTTCCTTCCCACCAACTTCTCTTAATGCTTGTGTTTCGTACTGGACATTTAGTTGCTGGAGACCTAGGATACAATTATTCGCCACATACATCGGACTGCGCTACCTAAGCCCGTTTTTCGTTATATGATACCTTCAAATTTTCAGAATTGGCGTCTTCCTGATTTGTTAACGTTATGAGACTTATATTAGTTTAATATTTAATTTCCCTCATAGTATCGAACCGGTGTCATAACTTCAGCGTTGGCTGATGAAATGCTTATGCGTCCCATCTTCAGAAGATTTTTCTGCCCTCAACCCCCACGTTCTATCCCGGATACGAGCTACCGTACCGGGTCCCAGCACAGATAGCGTTCGTCGTGTCTGAGTCAGTTTGATTTGCTTACCATGGTATTGGACGTTTGTCCATGTCTTATAGGTAGGCTTTTACAGCTCAAGTGTTTTGGGACCAAAGAGTAATTGCAAAGATGATTTCAGAATTTTCAAAATTTCAGACCTATGGCCTAGAAGGCACAACCAGACTCTAGAGCAGAAGATAAGTCCAATTTTATATATTTATATATATGCTTAATTGAACCTATTGAAAAGCGTGGCTGTAATTCAAAGTCCACATGGCAAACTCAGTACCAAGTGGGCCAAAATCGAGATCTCATATGCACTGTCTATTTGCACGCAGAGTCGCAGATACTGAGCAAAGTATATACAATCAGGGAAAAAAGACGACCTCGATATGTCTCATCATGATTCATGCTATGACTCCCATCATTCATAGTTGTGCTGCACTTGAACTTCATACTGAAAGCTATCCGAATCCTTTGGAGGATAACCAGTAGACTTTCACCTGAAATGTCATTCTGATCGTTCCGATTCTTTGGGTGGTCTTGCTTCTTCCCTACCTGGGAACTAGATTTAAACGGCACGGACGAGCGGAAGACCTCGACAAGGCCATTGAACTTACATCATGCTGTCTTGGACCAGTTCATGGATGAATCATGAATGGTAGTAGTCAACTTGCGTCCAACGTGCAACGGGGTAGCAATCATTTGACAAGATGTTCGAATTGAAGAGGTAGCTGTCTAATGAGCAAGAGAAGATTATCAAAGGAATACGACAAATTCCCCGCGTTTGAGAGCTTTCTTACAGCTATGCCGTCTAAGACACTGCAGCAAGCAGCTTCAGAGACTCCAGTCATTGTGATCAACCACTGCGAATTTTGATGCGATACACTCACCCCCCTCCCGGAAGGACGTACCTGTTGTCCATACCCCGTAGATATGGAGTTCTAAGACTACAGCGATAGCATCGAGCAGGACACACTGTGTGATCATTGATGTGTGAGGCTTGCCGACCCAACTTTCACAGAGTTTGATGATAGTTGAACCCATACACAAAGGTGCAGTATGTATGGAATCCAGAGAAACTACGTGTTGTGCACACTATTTTTAGTTCAAGCATATCGTCGTGATTAATTTCTTTCACAATTAGAAGGGCATCTCGTCTTACATAATCACAGTCTCGGATTAAGTAATATTGTGGCTGCACTGACAAAATTCTGTTTCAATCTCAATCTGGCCTGGTGGTCAGCCACCCAAACGCACTTTGGCGACGAGTGCTGTTGTGAGTTGCATCTTTACACATTGTCCTTGCTAAACCTGAACACGGGATATGGAACAACACCGGCTCATTCCGCTTGGCCGAGTAGAAGAAATAGCCCAGGAAACAGTGAATTTGTCAAACGCGCTCAACAATCTTAGTCAAGAATTTGCCGGCATAGCTCACGACGGGATGGCTGATATCGATGATATCTACGAGTAAGCCATTCTGTTTGCATCCGCCTTCCGTTTCTAATCAAACTATCAGATTCAAGTTGTATCAGGCACGAGAGCAAAATAAGCGTGCAATTCATTGGGGAGGAGACCTTGACGAGAGACCGAATTTGGCTCGTCTACCGTGTCAAGGCCTACAGCAGTTGCCAGGAAATGTACCATTTCCGCACACTGCCGATGAATTTTTTAATTTAACGAGTGAGCATCATATTTCTCATTTCGCATGCTGAGCAATGGCTCAAATTCTTTCAAGTGGCACAATACGGAGCTCTTCTACAGGCATACGGACAACCGGACAACGGACATCGTACCGATTTGATGATCCGCCTCCTATTTTACATTACGGGTCTTTAGCAGATGAGGCAAGGTCTTAATCTTATGTTCAGTGGTTATCCCTGTTTTGTGTCCCTTTTCGGTCCGAATTGTGACTTGGTTCCGGACTGCAGTCAGTAATTCTTGTAGTATCCTACTGTCATCCGTATATCACAGATTGTTGTTACGCAGCCAATAAGCTATGGTGGATTGTAGCTCGTCACCACACCTACAGGCTGTTAAACGCGGACAATATAAAGAGACAGCCTATATAATACGACGCGTATTTTCAGAACTTGAGGCGTATACAGTACAGTAAGTAGTACGGCCTGTTTACGGTACAGGCTGTATACATCTTATACGAATACAGCATATTGGTCATATTTTTCAGACATCTTAAGCAGATTGTTTAGATATATTTAAGTTAAAGTTAACTATTAGAGGTACAAGCATATTAAAGAATAGATATAATACCTGGAGGTAATGAAATAGCTTGGGTCTTTTCTATGACTTGATTGATATGTCTTCGATTGGACACGGATCAAAAGATAACATTCATCCCGTAATCAGCCTTGTCAGCTACCCACAAGCAGTGCCTCCTATACAGCAGACGCTGAGAAGCCAATTGAGTTCTGCAAAGAGCGTGATCGTTCTGATTCATTGAGTAGCCCTGCGTCTTTCCTGAGAACTGGATTTAAGCAGCACGGACGAGCGGAGGATTTCGACAAGACCATTGAACTTCATTGGGCCGTCCTGAAACATTGCCTTGTGTCGCTTGGGGCACTTATCAACGTGCAGTCAGGTGGACATGGAGGGGAACCAAGGGGGGAACCAGCAGTTCTTGTCATCGGGGATAGTCCACTTCAGTAAGCTAGAAGGGAAATTTTCAACATCTGGAATTATGGCATAAACACGAAGCTTCTCGTCAGCAAGACGAACTATGATGTAGTAATAAAGGCACTTCGGAAAGCAACCTGGGTCCATTTCGTTTGTCACAGAAACTTAAATTCAAAGGCTTTCAATTCTTCATTTAAAACGACATGCCACAGACTGACTTTACTCAACGGTATTTAAGGCGATGTTTTAAATGCAGAGTTCACATTTCTTTCCGCTTGCCATACTGCCAAATAATATCATGATGGAGCGTGCGTCGTACGATGAAGTCCTTCACCTGGCCGCGGGGATGTAGTTCTCCGGAGTTTGGAGCGTGATCGGTTCGACGTGAGAGCTACATGACATGGATGGGCCTTTTTCTACTAGGTCTATCTATGAATACATATGGGTGGTCGAGACTCTAGAGGCGAGGCATAAGCGGGCGGCTGCTGGACTTTGCAAAGCGGCCGTCGAGCTGAAAGTACAGCCTGACATTCGAACTGAAAGATGGGTCGATTTGATCCACAAAGGCGCTTGATGTTTTATTGTAATGTAGATGTCATGGTGACAGATCTTAAAAGGGTATCATTTATTTAATTTTGTTATTTTAGGATCATGTGGCAAACGCGATTCACGTGCCGCTGCGCTTCATTGAAATTATTCTCGAGTTTGCTCTGATTCTTCTGAACCGTTCAGTCCTCATAGCATCGACCTCAAGTGTCCACCCGTATTACATTTTGAAGCGTCTCCATAACGGACAAAAGTGCTCTGTAATCAGCAGGATTCGGAAATAACAGAATCACTCCAGATCAGCTCTCATCTACAACGCGACAGGACCGCGATGGCACCCCCTCTATTCACTCTCACGTCCTTGTTTCCTGCCAACCCGAATACCGATCGAGGCGCATCAACAAAGCTTCACATCAGCAAGGATAATAAGCTAATATATGCTAATGGGAGAACCGTGATTGTACGTCTTTCTCCTGCGTTCCTGCGCATATACTCTGATTGTGAAGGGTTACTGGATTTTGTGTGTAAAGATTCGTGATCTTAAGGTATGAGAATACACTAGATGACTTGGGATATGGTATGAATACTGGGTACCTAGAATCCATCGGCTGCAAAAGCGTATTCCGGTCACTCTCGGAATGTTACTGTCGCAAGATTCTCTCCCTCTGGGTATTACTGCGCCTCTGCAGATACGGCTGGTACAGGTGCGCAGCACTTCCTTTTCACCTACGATTAAACAATAGGGCAAATATATGTATTTAAACTCCGAAACCGAATAGTTAGAGTATGGGACACACTAGGGGAAGAAAATATCCTAAAACGTGAAGTACCCGCTATTAGTGGAAAGGTGTAAGTCACTTTCTAGTGGAGCTTCTGAGTTGGTAATGTGAACTTGTTTCTCCAGGAATGATCTGGCTTGGGATGGAGACAGCCAACGCATTATTGCTGTTGGAGATGGCAGGGAAACGTATGCGTTGAATCTTTTAAGTAACGCTGCTCTTTGATTGAACATATTTTAGCTTTGGTAAAGCTTTCATGGTCGAGACGGGATCTTCTACTGGAGAGATCGCTGGACATACGAAGGTGATACTACATCCAGTTTCTGTTTGACTTTATCTTCTTATTTATCTATTTATTATTATTATTCCCAGGTGATCAACGCCGTATCCATCCGACATCAACGACCGTTCCGCGCAGTTACTGCATCCGATGATTGTACTATTGTCTTTCATACAGGTAGGAGATCCGTCCAGTACCTTCGTTCTTGCAATCTAAACTTCTTATCGGCAGGCGTCCCATTCAAGTACGAAAAAGTGAGCAGTTATATGGTCATATTTTTTGTAAAGATTGAATTATAAACAAAATCATAGACCATAAAGACACATACAAAATTCGTACAGGACGTCAGATACTCGGCAAATGGAGACCACTTTGCTAGCGTTGGTTCCGATAGTAAAGTTTTCTTGTATGAGGGGAAGACTGGAGAACCGCTTGGGGAGTGTAGTGGAGAAGTGCATAAGGGTAGCATTGTAAGCTGTACAGACTATGATCGTTAACTGTCACTGGCTGATGATGGTTACAGATGGCAGCGAGTTGGAGTCCTGATAGCAAGAATCTTGCTACGTCTTCCTTGGATGGAACCGTCAAATTGTGTAAGCTGGCCTGAATGCTTCAATATGTAAAACTTCCCGACTACAAAACGATTTTCAGGGGATGTCGAGAGAAAGTTAACGGTTCAAACATGGACAGTCGGTACAGGCGTGCAAAATCAGCAAGTCGGGAATGCATGGGGTCCTGAAGGGGACATAGTATCACTCTCCATGTCAGGCATTGTCAACGTCTTTGACCAGCGAAAGGGCGATGGACCTGCCCATTTGCTCATCGTTCGTGCAACACACACAGCTTTATTGAAACAGGGACTGTTCTAATGATTGTGGCAACATTAGGGCCCACAAAAAACCATTACAGCTGCGACGCTCACAGCGTCCGGAACATTTATTGCCGGCACGGCGGATGGTAGACTCCTTTCATACGATATTGCAAACGGTGATGCTCAAGTTGTATCCGGTACTGGTCACTTGAGTCTCGTGACCAGCATTGTTAGCGCTGGAGAGAACACGTACAGTGTCGGAATCGACAATGCACTGAAGGAAATCAGCCCAGATGCGAAGAGCATGACGTATGTTGAATATCCCGCCAAACCTGACTATATGCGCTCATTATTGTTTTGCTTATTCAAGCGAAGCTTCAACGAATTTGCAATCACAAGCAAAAGCTCTGGCGTTATCGGATGAAGGGACGACGTTTGTCTCCGAAGCGGATAAAATTGAAGGATTCCGGTCCAACCAGCGTGTTGCACAGCTTCCCGTGAAATACCAGGCGAATGGTATTGCAAGCACCGGAAAACTCGTTGCGGTCGGAGGAGGGGTAGGTCCACGTCATGGGCCGCGCTCAGAAGATCATACAAGAAGATTTAACTGATTGGGTTTTGAATAGGACAACAAAATCCATCTCTATTCATGGAACGGGAAAGAGTTGAAAGAAGACGGTGTCCTCGAGACTCCGCGCGGACCTGCTCTCACATTGGCGTTCTCGCCCGATGGGAAGCTTCTAGTGTCCGGAGACGTAGGTCGATCTTCTTTGTGTGCTACGATTCATATACTAATGAGAAACTGTAGGCAACTGGAAAGATCATTTTGTTTGACGTCACAGAAAAGAAGGCAAGTTCTTCTCGACAATTACTTCCGAGAATACAGCATATTGATCGATACATGCGTACATAACTCAAAGGCCATCGAATCTCGATGGACAAATCACGCTTCGCGCGTCAACTCGCTCGTTTGGGCACCTACGGGGACGCACATTGCCTCAGGCTCGCTCGACACGCACGTTTTCGTCTGGTCTGTTGCCAATCCGTTGACGAACGTGCCGATTCGGCACGCAGGACCTGGTGGCGTCAATGCCGTGGCATGGCTTGAAGCTTCCAAGGATAAGGGCAAATTAGCTACCGCGGGTGCCGATGGCTGCGTGCGCATATGGGAGGTGATACTGCAGGCATGAAAGTTGACAAGGATGACGTTCTTGAGTTTGATCGATATACGTGTACGTAGACGGCCGCCGCCACGAAGTAGGAAAGCTTAGGGTAAGGGCATGGAAGAAAGAGAATACGAAAGTTTAGCTGAAAATGAGGACATTGAACACAATGTATAGTACGTGTAATAGTGGGTTTATGTAAGTTCCGGCTCAGAACTCCCTAGCGAGAAGAACCGATCGGCCACATGAATTGAGTGATAATTCAAATCTGGTTCCTTTGAGCGTCCAAAATTACCGCCCGAACGTGCGCTGAGTAGACTATTTGATCCAGGGTGTGAACCTAATCGCAATTTGTGATTGCGCAAAACGAAACGCTGTATGTGTTCTGAGATTTGCTCGAGGTTACCATTTCAATCACACATGCTCGGAGTATCCGAGCGCCATGACTGTTATGGAACTGGAACTGGATACCTAGTCCTTGTAATTTTGTAAGAACTTGTAAGAATGAAACTGCTTAGGATGCTTAACCCTTGCGGTGACCATCAGCTTAGCTTTGCACTCATCTAAGGTAAAATCAGCCGAGCAATGCCTGGCATGCACTGCATGTGCATGCCAGAGAGTCTGAGAGAGAACTTCAAAACTTCGGCGGTCCGTGTAATTTCCTATCATGAGGATTTTGCCGCACATCTTGGAAGCAATCGCAGTGCAAATTTCAGGGCGGGCACGGGGTTTTGTTCACTTGATCTGAAGATAGAACGGCCACTTCTCTGAGATCTCCACAAAACTGCCCACGGAAAAAGAGAGGGGTGTGTAGGTCGGAGGTCGATCAGCACCGCGATTGGAGGGGCTACTCGGAGACGCCTCGCCGCCAGTGAGATATCGAAGCCCCAGTCCTGAGCACGATGCGAGTAATCCTTTCCGCTGGTGAACTTAGGTACTTGAATCTTGTGGAAAGCAAAATCAGCGGCCAGCCTCGATATTATGCCGAATCATTGCCGATACCTTTTCTTCATCGCTTTCTTCCTGTAACGTTGGAGATGTATCTTCTGGCACAGCAAATGCCCAAGATGAAACAAATGAATCAGATACTCGTTTTTATAGCAGTGTAGCAGATCACGGAAGCAGTGCAAAGTATCGAAAATCAAAATAAGCGAACCTGTGTGTATGCACGTGTGACAATTACGTTTGGTCACGTAACGTCAGATATCCTTCGCTTAAATACGCGCTCGCCGCTCACGTCGTGTTCACCATCCATCATTATTATCATCTCCGTCTCTCTTTCACGAACAAGGTGAGTCCTTTCATCATCCTTTATGCTCAGGTCCGTAGTATGTAGAGCTGACAGTGCGGTAGAATCAATCACGATGTGCGGAATCTTTGCCTACGCTAATTATTTGGTCGAGAAGGTATGCCACGCGTACTGCTACCCAACGTTCGAGACCAACTGACAATCTCGTGCACCTCAACAGGACCGCAAATGCATTTGCGAGACTCTTTGCAATGGTCTCTCTCGTCTCGAATATCGAGGCTACGATTCCGCTGGCATAGGTATTGATGGCGACAAGCCCACTGAAACGCTCCTTTTCAAGGAGGTCGGTAAAGTTGCGGGTCTGCGCAAGCGCATTGCAGAAGCCAAGATGGACACGGCCAAGACTTTCGTGTCCCAAGTCTCCATAGCTCACACTCGCTGGGCAACGCACGGTGTTCCATCTGTCATCAACTGCCACCCTCTCCGTTCAGATCCCAGTGCCGAGTTCACACTCGTCCACAATGGTATCGTCACTAACTGTGCTGAGCTCCGTCTCGTCCTCCAAAAGCGTGGGTATAAGTTCGAGAGTGAAACGGATACGGAAGCCGTTGCGATTCTGACGAAGTACATCTATGACTCGCAACCGGATAGACGCATTAGCTTCACCGACCTTGTCAAGACCGTCTTGAAGGAGCTCGAGGGTTCCTTCGCGTTCGTTTTCAAGTCGATCCACTATCCCAATGAGCTTGTCACTGCTCGCCGTGGTTCTCCCCTTTTGATCGGTGTGAAGACCGAGAAAAAGTTGAAGGTGGACTTCGTTGATGTGGAATTCTCCGGTGATCCATCAGATGTGAAGCCCGACCTGAGTGAGCCATATCATACCAAGTGCATCTATCATCCATATTAATTATTTCCCAGTTGCGCCCACTTCGCCTACGAAACTTCTTGCTCCACCGTCTAACTCCCATATCTTCCGGTCTCAATCACGTGCTTTCATGTCGGAGGATGGACTTCCTCAACCGATCGAGTTTTTCATCGCATCCGATGCGTCTGCGATTGTTGAGCACACTAAGCGCGTCCTTTATCTTGAGGATGATGACATTGCGCACATTGCGTCTGGTGAGCTGCACATCCACCGTCTCCGTCGTCGTGACGATGGTTCGCAGTCGCCTTCGCAGGCTGCGTCCACTCGTTCGATCGAGACACTCGAGATCGAGATTGCGGAGATTATGAAGGGCAAGTTTGACCACTTTATGCAAAAGGAAATCTACGAACAGCCTGAATCTGTCGTGAACACTATGCGTGGACGCGTCAACTTCGATAATCATAAAATCACTCTTGGCGGCTTGCGTCAATACCTTCCTATCATCCGTCGTGGCAGACGTATCGTGTTCATTGCATGCGGAACGAGTTATCACTCGTGCCTTGCGACACGTGCCATTTTTGAAGAACTCACTGAGATTCCGGTCTCCGTGGAGCTTGCATCGGATTTCTTGGACCGTAAGACCCCGATTTTCCGTGACGATGTCTGCGTTTTCCTCAGCCAGAGTGGAGAGACCGCAGATACAATCCTTTCACTCCGCTACTGCCTTGAACGTGGTGCGCTTTGCATTGGTGTAGTGAATACTGTCGGTTCTACGATTTCTCGGGAAACGCACTGTGGGGTACACATCAACGCCGGGCCGGAAATCGGTGTTGCTTCAACGAAGGTGAGGGTTGTTTCTATCTGTCTCGATACACGTCATTAACGAACGATGCTTTCCGACAGGCATACACTTCACAGTACATTGTCTTGTTGATGATGGCTATCCAACTCTCGGAAGACCGTCTGTCACTTACTGAGCGTCGTAAACAGATCATCGACGGCTTGCATGCACTTCCGGGCCAGATTAAGAGCGTGCTCGAAAGCGACAAGACACTTCAGCAACTTGCGACTAGTCAACTTGCAAACTCGCGGTCGCTGCTCATTCTCGGCCGTGGACTTCAATATGCCACATGTCTTGAAGGTGCTCTCAAGATCAAGGAAATCAGTTACATGCACTCCGAAGGCATTCTTGCTGGAGAGCTTAAGCATGGACCTCTTGCGCTCATCGACGAGAACATGCCAGTGATCATCATCATGACGCGTGACTCCCTTTACCCGAAAGTGAAGAACGCTTTCGCACAAATTACCGCACGCAAGGCTCAGCCGATTATTATTTGCAATGAGGACGACACGACCATGCCCAAAGATGCAAAGACGATCCGCGTACCTGAGACCGCCGATTGTCTGCAGGGTATTCTCAACATTATCCCGCTTCAGTTGCTCAGCTACCACCTTGCCATCAAGAATGGATTTGATGTTGACTTCCCAAGGAACTTGTATGTGTCATTGCGTCGTATCATAATTATTATAGCGTTGCTTACTGTGGATTTACAGGGCGAAATCCGTCACGACTGAATAAACGGCGGGATGTAAAACCCAAAATAGGGACGACACGTCGCGGATTCTTTCGAACTCGTGAACAATCCTGTACCTTTTTTGTTCCGGACACTCGGTTTACCTTTCTCGTACCCCAGACTTCCTCAAATCCTTCCTCAACTCCCCCCTATTGCAGTTCCGAATAATGAACGCTTTGAACAAAACTGCGTGTATGACCTCGGGTTCCATGGGCCCGTGAACGGACCTTATTCTCTCGCTCGTAGTGTAGCTCTTGATCGTCTATAGGTGGCGAGAATACCTGTATAATGATAGCATAGAAATCAAAATGACACATCGTTGAACGACTAAAAATGCAAATTATTCTTATGTTTTTTCATCAGGGCGAGAAAGGAAGGAAGAACGATGGTTCGCACAGCAAACTGAGCAATCGACAATTTCCACTCCACATCGAGTCCACGAGTCAGTTCGCACTACTCCCAGTTAGTAGTGTTATGGTCCTGGTGTTGAGAACAACACCGACTTCCAGTGTTCTATGACAAACCAGTGCCATCACACATGCTCACCAGGGGTCGATAGCCGCCCTCGCAATTACACAAATTAGGCTGCAAGGCTTGCACCTGGCAATTGTGAAGAGAACAAACTGGATGTTTCTTTCGCATGGCCCTTGAAGATATTAATAAATGACCAGTGCACCTGTGGTGAACTGTTGAACTGGTGCCATACTGTGTATGGTAGAGCTAGCACCCATACTTAAGGCGAAGATGATGTTGTAGATAGGAAGGTTGCCCTTAGCCCCCTTCCACTATCATGTGCAACACCAAACACTACTCAGTGGAGGGTTCGCTTGCTGTTTGCTCTATTTTACCTTGTCTGATCTTTCAGTCTAGTTAGGCGAATCACAGGCCTTCAGCACAGGTCATGGCCACCAGGTTTGTATGTGAAGGTGAAATTAGGTAAAGTCACAGTAGTGGGGAAGACCAGGCTGATCTGAGAAGATGAACCGCCTGCATCAAATGCCACCTTTACGTTGTGAGAGAAGCCAACCCTACTGCTTCATATTTTCTCAACACTTTGACAGTTTGTCTGATGACGAATCAGATACTCTCAATGTATATATCACAGAGGAACGAAAGCATCGTATGTATAAGTGTGAAGTGCACAATCTCCAGATTGGATGTGCCAGCATTTCGATCAAGGAGTTACTAGGAAGATGCATTACTGGGGAAGGTAAGTATGTGTTAATTGCCATAATTAAACTATTCGCGGGCTCACAGTCAGATATAGCCGACTTAGAGCTCGTCGCTTCGTCTGGCGGTCTGTGTATAACAACTATTCCTATTGGTACAATTTGCCTGTACCTAAAGGACGTTGATATCGAGGATCGTGTCGGTATTGATGTGGAGGCGGCAAGACAGAACATCAACCAAATTGAGCGGTCTGCAAATGCTGCTGATTCTACCGCAAATACCATTGCATCTCTTGTCCGCAAGTTAGATGAGGTTGTTAAAGCTGTTGATGACATAAGTTCCAAGGTGAGAGGCGCTCAGTATGGAAATTTGCTGAATCTAGACAAACGGCAATTGCCAGGTGCACCCGTTCCCGAATCTGGCATGGCAAGCAACATCAGTCTGTACAAGGTCGGCATATTTGTGTCTTTCTTTACAAAGTTCCAAAGCAGCTCATGTTTTAGTGTGCATAGGTCGTGTCAAGCCAACTTAAAACGGATAAGAAACTAGTTGACCTTGTCGACCTGATGCAACAAGCATTTGGCTTTGCGAGCGATGCAAAAACACTGGTAAATAAGGCTGAGACGCTCCAGGATACAATATCTGAGCTCCTGAAGCTGACTATTGAATTCTGCACGTTTGTGAAAGAGTATACCTCGGGTGGCTTTATAAGTATGCTCATAGATCTGCTCTATTTCTGGTTAAACTAATCTCTCTCTCTCTCTTTTAGAGCGAGCCCTGAAAATAAACAGTGGACCGGGGATAGATAACTACAAGGAACGTTTGCTTTTCCTCAAAAATTCATTAGACTCGGGTGTTGCCCTCCATGGAACCCTTGTCGTGTCTCGTGCGTTTGTTAAAGTCGACATCATCGGTACGTTCACGTATTCCCACCGTTGATCTTGACTAATGCACGGACATAGAACTGCGACAGCGGCTTCAATTACTTGAAATGTTGCTAGAGCCAATCAAATCAGACACGTCCAGTCGTGCTCGCTGCCTCCCGAATACCCGCATGGAGTATCTGAGAAAATCGAGGAATGGCTATTCTCACCACCCAAGGAAAATATTCTTTGGCTCAACGGTATCGCCGGGTCTGGAAAGAGCACCATTGCTGCTTCTATCACGGACCTCTGTGATGATAAATCCCGACTCGCAGCATTTGTTTTCTTCGAACGAGGGAAAAACGAACATCATTCCGTAATCCGGACGATTGCATACCAGCTAGCAGCATTCGAGCCACTCCTTGCAAAAAATATAATAGCCGCAGCTGAGGGGCTCAGAAACATAACCGGATCTTTACCTCAAAGGCAGTTCGAGAAACTCCTTTTGGAGCCGCTCAAGTCATCGATTGGCGCCGTCAAAGGCCCGATAATAATTATTCTCGATGCACTGGACGAGTGTGGCACTACTGAACAACGGCGGGAGATCCTCGAGTTACTTAAAATCGAGTTTCAGAAGCTTCCTCTAGAATTCCGCTTCTTCATTACGAGTCGACCAGAAAACGACATTGTCAGGTCGCTTTCGTTCCAAACACACATACACGAAATTAGGCTTAAGCCTAGTTCGATGGAAAGCCGTAATGATGTACGGGCTTACATCGATGACGCGATGCGTAAGGCAATTACGGACCCCGTACCAGACGGACTCGAATTGGATAGCATGATGAAAATCCTTAGTACCGCTGCGGATGGACTTTTCATCTGGGCATCGACTGCAGTCAAAATGGTCGCAAGTAGTGGTGACCAGGTGGAGAAGCTTGAAGAACTCGTTACGAGCGTCCGGTCGCTCAATGGTCTGGACAACTTGTATTCTTCCGTACTCGAACAATCAGGGATCTCATGGAAGGAAGAAAAATCTCGGGAGCGCTTCCAGAAGATCTTGGGGCTGATTATTTTCAGCAAGGAACCCCTTTGTGATAGCGATATCGACAATATCTTGGGCCTTGGAACCGGAAAATCGAGCCTCATACTTCACAAAAACTGCAGTCTGTTCTATCATTTGACTCAGGGATGCCAATTCGCCTTCACCATGCATCATTTGCAGATTACCTTCTGTCATCAAAATCCTCGGACGAACAGCCGTGGTTTGTTGATACTGAAACCCAGAAACGACTTATAGTTACACAGTGCTTTGGCGTCATGGAACATATGCTACGTTTTAACATATGCGATCTCGAAACATCGCTTATCTATAATGATGACGTTCCCGACCTCGAAGACCGAATTGCAAGGAATATACCAACACACCTTTCATATACCTGCCGGTTCTGGGCCGAGCACCTTCGTGATGTACCATACTCTCCGGACTTGGGAGGGAAAATTGAGGGCTTTCGCGTACAAATATCTTCCGTACTGGTTTGAGGTGCTCAGTCTGACTAAGAACATCAATAACGTTGCGGGTAGAGCACTTATGGTTGCTGTTTCGTGGTTAGGGGTGAGTGTTTATGATATTCGTCTTACTAGTATATGGTGTTAATATTATCGATAGTCGAATGAATCTGAGACTTCAGAATTTCTGAAGGATGCCTATCGGCTAGCCAACATCTTTGCCCTGCCGACCTCACAAAGTGCACCTCATATCTACCTTTCGATGCTCTCCCTCTTAAAAGACGAATCGGCAGTGTCTAAACACTACTCGGAGACACATCCTACAGTTATTACGTGTCGATTAGGAACGAAACCTCGAACTTCGTGCATTAAGATGTTAGATGACCATGAGAGAGCCGTAAACTCAGTCGCATTCTCGCCCGACGGGAGACGAGTTGTATCTGCCTCCAATGATCGCACTATTCGAATTTGGGATGCCGAAACCTGGCAGGTCGTTGCGAGTCCATTTGAAGGGCACAAGGGTAGGGTCCAATCGGTCGCATTCTCGCCCGATGGGAAGCGTGTCGTCTCCGGTTCTTATGACAAGACAGTCTGTGTTTGGAATACCGAAAGCGGAGAGGTCGTCTGGGGTCTGTATGAAGTCCACGATGGAGCGGTGAGCTCAGTTGCATTCTCGCCCGATGGGAAGCGCATCATCTCTGGTTCTTATGACAAGTCAGTCTGTGTTTGGAATGCTGAAAGTGGAGAGGTCGTCTGGGGTCCGTATGTATTCCACAATGAAGCGGTGAACTCAGTGGCATTCTCACCTAATGGGACGCTCATCGTCTCTGGTTCTTATGACGATGAGATTTGTATTTGGGATGCTGAGGATGGTGCACACTTATACACGTCTGCAGAGTATGACGGAGCAGTCTACTCGGTTGCATTCTCACCAGACAGCAAGCGTATCGTTTCCGGTCACAGCATGGGTAAAATTCGGGTTCAGGATACTGAAACCGGGAAGATTATTATGGCCATGTCTGAAGATCACATCGAATCGTTGACCTCGGTGGTATACTCCCCTGACGGGAAGAGCATTGTCTCTGGCTCGAAAGATTGCAAGGTTTGTGTTTGGGATGCAGAAACCGGAGAGGCCACTGCAGGCCCGTTTGAAGGCCACAGTGGATGGGTCTATTCAGTTGCGCTTTCACCCGACGGGAAGCACGTCGTCTCTGGTTCTGGTGATGGCACAATTCGAGTTTGGGATATTGAAGTTGGAGAGATTGCAAGTAGTCTGTTTGAAGTGTATGGCGAAGAGATCATCTCAGTTGCATTCTCACTCAGTAGGACACGTATTGTCTCTGGTTCTGGTGATGGAACAATTCAGGTTCGGGATGCCGAAGCTAGGCGTGTCGTTGCCGGCCCATTTAGACGACACGAAATGCGGATCACCTCCGTCGCATTCTCTCCCAATGACAAACTCGTTGTATCTGGCTCTGATGATGGCGAGATTTGCGTTTGGGACGTTGATGCTGGACATCTAATCATGGACCCGTTAGGAGGGTACAATGGTGAACGGGTGTTACATTCAGTCACATTTTCAAGCAATAGGGAGCACATCATCTCTGACTCATGTGATGGCTTGATACAAGTTTGGGACCTTCAAGGTGGAGAGGCCATAACCAGCTGGTCCGAACAGTTCGACGACTGTGTCCATTCGGCTGCATTCTTGCCTGACAGGAAGAATATTGTCTTTGGTTACAAAGATGGCACAATTTGAGTCGCGTCTTTTCCGCACCCGGACCCTGACTCCCACGCCTAATTAGGGATGACCCTGAGTTATATAATAATGTACCTAGTTATATAATAAACTACTTAATTATATAACAATGTGATGAATTATATAATGTGTCTGTGGATCATTACTGAGTATAAGTCGTCGTAAAAACATATTAAGTCAATAGTACACATAATAATAACAGTTTTAATTGTATATATTGTAATCCAATTGATGTTAACTGATATATAGTACAAAATAATAGATGAAGTATCCTATATTTTCACTAATACAACGAAAATGAG